CATGGAACACTGCACCCAAATGAAATTTACATCCTTTTTTCCCCACAAATGCAGCTTTCTTTTGGTGCTATTTGATGGAAACAAATTTCTATATACCTTGCGAGCCAAAATTATTTCTACCAAATAACCACCTTAAAGCACAAATCTAAACAAAATATTCCTTACTTCTAATGAATCGCAAACATCAAACACATAACTACCACTGTGCATACATATTATTTCACCAAAGTATGTTGCGCTCCATTAGTTTTTAATATCCCTTAAATTAATACTAATATCCCCGTTTATACCCCTGTAATTGATAATCACATAAATACAAAAAAGTGATCTAATACCAAAAAATTAATAAAATTAAAAAAATATATTATCGTGCCATTAACTAAAAATAAATCCTCAACTGTGATAATAACTTAATATCCAAGTGATTTTTTTGATTATAAAAAACTCAATAATTCATATTGTTAATACATACCAGTGATTATAAATATATTTTTAAAACTAATTACTATACCAATTACATATATATAAAAAATGTCCCATGAATCATAAAAATAGTGACTCTGTGCTTATTAATCTTCAATCCGTGACTTTTTGTGAATCCTCCAATTAGTACAGATGTAAGCTCACCTCCTTAAATGCCTACAATTAGGCTAAATGCGCTTTCAGTTCACCTCCTTTGGAACCTGCTTGATTAAGACTTTTTCCTTTTAGATTGGAATATGGGGATCCTTTTCTTGTATAATAGAGATATCTTTATCCACTGATTATCCCCTCTGGGATTAATCCCTCCTTATGCTGTTACAAGCTTCCTATATTATCCTCTTTTTGCGTCTCTCCACATGCAGAAAAAAATTTCCAAACATAGTGTTTTATCCTTTTAAAAGACTCCTTTATTCCCACCAAGTAGTACACACACGATTATCACAACCCCCTGATGAAGCCACGTGACCAGTGGCGTAACGCGTAGGGGTGGGGCTGCGACGTCACTCGGAGGTAGCCGGATTGTTTGACAGACGGCGGGTTCATGACTCAGCGGTCAGCAGAGGATTTGTTACACATGAGATTGCTTGATATTGATCAGATAAAATGTGAGTGTACTACTTGGTGGGAATAAAGGAGTCTTTTAAAAGGATAAAACACTATGCTTGGAAATTTTTTTCTGCTGCATGTGGAGAGACGCAAAAAGAGGATAATATAGGAGGCTTGTAACAGCATAAGGAGGGATAAGCAGGTTCCAAAGGAGGTGAACCGAAAGCGCATTTAGCCTAATTGTAGGCATTTAAGGAGGTGAGCTTACATCTGTACTAATCGGAGGATTCACAAAAAGTCACGGATTGAAGATTAATAAGCACAGAGTCACTATTTTTATGATTGATGGGACATTTTTTATATATCACTAATTATAAATGAATGGTTATTCACAATTATTTTTGAGAATTATTTTTTTATTAATGTGTAATTGGTATAATAATTAGTTTTAAAAATAATTTATAATCACTGGTATGTATTAACAATATGAATTATTGAGTTTTTTATAATCAAAAAAATCACTTGGATATTAAGTTATTATCACAGTTGAGGATTTATTTTTAGTTAATGGCACGATAATATATTTTTTAATTTTATTAATTTTTTGGTATTAGATCACTTTTTTGTATTTATGTGATTATCAATTACAGGGGTATAAACAGGGGGATATTAGTATTAATTTAAGGGATATTAAAAACTAATAAGGAGCGCAACATACTTTGGTGAAATAATTTGATCGCCTGTGGTTTTTATTTTTTGCGCTATAACAAAAAAACCCTGACAATTTTCACAAAAAAAACTATATTTTTAATTTTTTGCTATTAAACATGTCCAGTAAAAAAATTTAAAAGATCAAATTTCATCATAAATTTAGACCAAAATGTCTTTGCTAAAACAAAAACCCCATACATGTAAATTAATTGGTTTACATGAACGTTATAGCATCTACAAATGGTGGTATATATACTGGAATTATTTTTTTCACACACACATATATATATATATATATATATATATATATATATATATATATGGTACTAGGCAGGAAAGAGTTTACATCTGGGGCAATCAAAGGGTTAACTGTGTGCTGTTTTACTGTGTGCTGTGTGTGTGTTTCACTGTGTCAGCAAATTGCTATGTATTGCTCTGCTATGCAGAGCAATACAAAGCAATGTGCAGGAGCTGACAGGGGAGAGATCTGTATTGTTTACATACAGGTCTCTCCCCCATCAGTGATACTCGGTGATCGCCGGGAATCACTGGCCGAGACCCGCTGATCGACAGCTGAGGCCACCAATGGCGGTCTGGGTGGGGCACACGCACACCCCCTACCCAGAAAAAATGCAAAGTGACATATATATACACATGTGATTTTGCACAGCCCTGCCACCCTGTAGCAGTATTTCTGGCAGGAAAGCAGTTCAATTGGAAAAATTGTGAATCCTGGGTGGAAACATCGAGAAATTGACCATTGGGTAATAAAGGCTCTACTTGATTTAACCATCAATGGGCTCCATTCACAAAGCAATATTTACCACTTTAAGAAACTTTTTTTTGGCATTCACAAAAAAAGGTTTCTAAAATGCTGCATGTGGTATTTTTCTGAAATATGCAGTATATATCTAATAAAACCTTGCAATATTTTTTTTCATGTGATATTCAGTGGAATGTATACAGTGAAGAATTAGAACCCCTGTCAGTTTTTTTGCTAATAAAGTGGTAAAATGGTTTAAAACCGTAGAAATATGTCAACTCACTAAGTCAGTGCGGTCCCCGGCAGCAGGTGTATGAATACAAAAGAAAAAAGGTGACTAGAATACCAAAGTGAAGTTGCTTTCAGAGAACACGTGGTGTATCAAAAACAACTAAGTTAAATTAAGTAAATACAAAATATCTTCTCTTGTCAAATATTGAATGAAAATAGTATCAAAAATCATACACATAAATAAATACCTTTCTTCTACATTGTTGCTTTAAGTAAATCAACCCCAATAATTTCCATATTTAGGTTTCAATGCATTACTGTTGAAAGAAACTATTAAAAAAGGTAGAGACTACTCCAAATTGGCTATTATATGTTTACATTCCTTAATTACCTCATGCCTGAACCACCACTTAATTACCACATTCATTTAAATATTTGATTACTCCTGTGAATTGATTTTAACCCCTTTTTATGTGTTACTTACCAAGCATTTTCACCGTTTTGATGTAAATATTGCAAAAAAAATTGACAGTTTCAGGATTGCATGCAAAATTTAGGGAAAATGTGTGTAAAATCACCTAAGTACGGCATGCAATCTGCTTTTGTGAATGGAGCCCCATATGCTGACCTCTCTTTTGTAAATTATCTATGCCTTGTCCATGAATCCACATCAATCTTGGCTCAATGTGACACTAAACTCTGGTTTAGAGAAAAATCTATTTGAGTATTCTCAACTCCAAAATGTCCCTTCTAATGCTATTAGCCTTCTCCAAATCGTTTTTTTTTTTTTTTCTGCTTTGATTGGATATCCTGATAATCTAGGTTCACACCTATGCGCAGGGGCGGACTGACCATTTAGAAACTCGGGCACTGCCCGAGGGCCCGGGGTCAGTAGGAGGCCCCATGAGATGCCCCTGGTACCTTTTTCATAGGCTTTTTTGAGTTTGGGCAAGGACACAGAGGCCCCATGAGTTGTCAGTCTGCCCCTGCATGCGTTTTCCGTTACGCATTTAATTTGGCAGAAATGCACAGCAGTCCATTTAACATGCTTCACAGGTTCACATCTCTGCGTTTTCACCAGGTGCGTTTTTTGAAAATGGTCAGGGACTTTTTAAAATGCAAAACGTTGGGTTTTTGGTTCTATAGACTTCAATGGAGACACTGCAGAAAAGTATGTAGTGCATCTTTTACATGTTTTGGATACGGTATAGATGTGTTTTTAATGTGTTTTGCGTTTTAATCTACCCAGCAACAAGTTGGGAAAAAATGCATGTGCAAAAACGCAAAATGCACCACAAAAAGCACTGCACAAACAGATCAAATACAAACTGCATAGGTGTGAACCTAGCCTTAGAGGGTGGCTAAATTTGTTCTCCATGGTCCCACCATATGTAGGAATGTAGCCACCGTCTCTTGCTCACTCCTGAGATTATGGGATGTGTAGTGTACATAGAGCAGTGCACCTGACCACAGCTAGTGTACACTGCTCTTACCAAACAAATGGAAGTGAGAGGCAAATGGAGAGTTTTGGGAGCTCGTGCAGGTTGTTACAGGGAGGCAGAAATACACAGTTAGACACAGTTTCATGAAAGATAGATTACAGGGCCATGAAGCATTTTGCAGATTATATTGGAGAATAAGTGGATGCAGCATGAGTCTGATAAGAATAAGGATATCATTTAGTGTCACTTTAATAGTATGCGTGCAGGATGGCTTTCTATGCCAACTGGAAAGGTTGCCCTTCACTTTTTTTTTTTACAGGTGATTGGTATCAGACAGAACTGGAATTGAGTGGAAATCTCTCCAACAGGAACATGGTGAAAAATTACATGAACCCTTGAAATATAACATATGTAAACATATCTACTTATGGAAATTCCATGGAAATTTTGATATATATTTATAAAAAAAACAATAAAAAAGAAAATGATGCAGCTAACTGTATAAGAAATACAATTTATTATATATACAGTATATAAAGACACATAGCAAGTAAAAACAAAGGTATACCTACTAAAATCCAAGATACTCCCAAAATGATCTTCAAAACATAAGAGATCGATCTATGACTGGCCTTAACATGAACAGTAAGGCTGACACATGAGAATAAATAAAATAATAAAGATTGTGGTATACATGGCATATTTGACAAACACTCTATATGACAAATTATTTTCAATAGTAACAATAAAATGAAATCAACAGTAATACAGCCAAAAAGTAACACAGATATTGAAAACTGAACTGTTTCCCTGGCGGCCAGTAAAAAAATGCTTACTTACAATAGTGATCAATGGGGTTGCATTGGAGCTCAGTGGAGAAGGGGCCCTGTAGATTGGTGGTCAATGGGAGAAGGACCATCATACAATAATGTTCCTTGGGAGAAGAGCCCCCTTACACTGATGGTCAGTGAGAGAAGGGTCCTATTACACTAGGGGGCCAATGGAAAGATTGCGCCTTACATTGGTGGTCAGTGGGAAGAATGTTCCTTACATTGGTGTTCTATGGGAAAATAGCCCCCTTACACTGATGGTCAGTGAGAGAAGGGTCCTATTACACTGGTGGGCAGTGGGAAGGATGTTCCTTACATTAATGGTCAGTGGGAAGAATGTTCCTTACATTGGTGTTCTATGGGAAAATAGCCTCCTTACACTGATGGTCAGTGAGAGAAGGGTCCTATTACACTGGTGGGCAGTGGGAAGGATGTTCCTCACATTGATGGTCAATGGGAAGAATGTTCCTTATATTGATGTTCTATGGGAGAAGAGCCCCCTTACACTGATAGTCATTGAGAGAAGGGTTCTATTACACTGGTGGGCAGTGGGAAGGATGTTCCTTACATTGATGGTCAGTGGGAAGAATGTTCCTTATATTGATCTTCTATGGGAGAAGAGCCCCCTTACACTGATGGTCAGTGAGAGAAGGGTCTTATTACACTGGTGGGCAGGATGGATTTTCCTTACATTGATGGTCAGTGGAAAGAATGTTCCTTATATTGATGTTCTATGGGAGAAGAGCCCCCTTACATTGATGGTCAGTGGGAAGAATGTTCCTTACATTGGTGGTCAGTGAGAGAAGGGTCCCATTACACTGGTGGACAGTGGGAAGGATTTTCCTTAATTGATGGGCACTGGGAAGAATGTTCCTTACATTGGTGGTCAGTGGGAAGAATGGCAACTTACAGTACATATAGTACTATAGTATTGCTAAAACTCTTCACTCTTTCCTGTCTGTGCTCCGCCTCCACCCTGCCTGCCTGGTATACAGAGGCCCTATAGGCTTCATCACTTCTGGAAGTGGCCTTGTGCCCCATCTTTGTGTATGGTCACTCCCATGCAGCCTAGCCCATGTGGAACTCAATTTTGAGGCAAGTATGCATCTGGGGAGGATTGGCTGGTTTCCACAACAGGAGGGGAAATTAGTACAACATATTTAAAAGCTCTGGGTCCCCTCCCCCAATATTGATCCTTTAAAAATATATATATATACAGTCATAGCCGAAATTGTTGGCACCCTTGATATTTCTCCAGGAACTCATGTATTTCTCACGAAACGTATTGCATTAACACATGTTTTGCTATACACATGTTTATTCCCTTTGTGTGTATTGGGACAAAACAAAAAAAGGGAGGAAAGAAAGCAAATTCGACATAATGTCACACAAACCTCCAAAAATGGCCCTGGAAAAAGTATTGGCACCCTTTCACAACTGCGGATAAATAAGAATGTTACTAGCATTGTGATGCTCCTGTAAACTCACCTGGGGCAAGTAACAGGTGTGGGCAATATAGAAATCCACATTGCTGAAAGCAGATAAAGGGGGGGGAGAGACGTTCACTTAACCTTTGCTAGTGTGTGTCTGTCTGTGCCACACTAAGCATGGACAACAGAAAGAGGAGACGACCCTATGTCTCCAGGACCTTTTTGAGAACCAAAATTGTGGCAAAATGATCAACAATCTCAAGGTTACAAGTCCATCTATTCCAGAGAACTAGATTTGCCTTGAATCCTACAGTGCGCAACATTATCAAGAAGTTTGCAACTCCATGGCACTGTAGCTAATCTCCCTGGTCGTGGACTGATGAGGAAAATTGATGAAAGATCTGCAACCAGAATAGTCCGGATGGTGGATAAGCAGCCCCAAACATGTTCCAAAGACATTCAAGCTGTCCTGCAGGCTCAGGGAGCATCAGTGTCACGCGAACTATCCGTCGACATTTAAATGAAATGAAACGCTATGGCAGGAGACCCATGAGGACCCCAGCCTGCTGAACAGCTCCATAAAAAATGCAAGACTACAGTTTGCCAAAATTACTTGAGTAAGCCAAAACCTTACTGGGAATTCTCTTGCTGTGACCTGAGTATCCCAAGATAGAGCTTTTGTAAAGCACATCATTCTACCTGTTTACCGAAAACGGAATGCTTGCTTACAAAGAACAAAACCACAGTACCTGGGAAAATAGCAGTGGAGGTTCAATGATGTTTTGGGGTTGTTTTGGTGAAGACCTCTGGCACTGGGCTCCTTGACTGTGTGCAAGGCATCATGAAATCTGAGGATTACCAAAGGATTTTGGGCGCACTGTCAGGGCCCAGTTCAGAAAGCTGGGATTTGGCCCATGATCCTGGGTCTTCCAGCAGCCCATTCAATGAACCCCAAACAGTTTTCACGTCAAAAGTTCTCATAGCACTCAGAAATGGATGGCAAAGAAGCTGCTGGAGAGATTCTGAAGTGGCCAGCACAATGCCCAGATGGCTAAATCCCATTGAACACCTGTGGAGAGATCTTAAAATTGCTGTTGGAGAAAGGTGTCCTTCCAATAAGAGAGACCTGGAGCTGTTTGCAAAGGAAGAGTGGTCCAAATTCCGGGTGAGAGGTGTACGCCAGAAGCTTATTATGGTTATAATTCTGCCAAGCCTTTCAGTTATGTTTTCCAAATGGGTTGCAACCAAATATTAACCTGTTAAATCTTGCCAATTGTTTTGTAAAATCCAGCCCATTTTTGGGTCTTGTCTGGAGTCATTGGTGCTCATATTTCTTTTTCTGCCTCTGCTTCCATATTTGTTACCTGCAATACATACAAAGGGAATAAACATGTGTATAAAGCAAAACATTGTTAATGCCATACCTTTTGTGTAGGAGCAATACTTGATTTTCAGGCCAAAAATATCAAGGGTGCCAACAATTTCGGCCATGACTGTATATATATAATATATATGAAGGAATATACAGATATTTTGTTTGGACTCAATAATTTGTGGGGAAGAATGTAAAATGGATATTTTTAGAATATAAGCCAGTAATTTTTAATGACAGTAACCAGCTGTTGTGGTCCCACAGATTTCATTAATCCTTTGATTTCCAAGTGTCATCTTCAGTATTATATTTAAAGCCCTGATGAAAAGAGTGCCCAATGACCAATGAAAATCTTTGGCTACCTATTGTCACACTCCAGCACTAGTCCTCCCCTCTGTGTGTGGCTACTAGCTTCCATTATTGCTGCAGCCAATCACAAGGGGGGGGGGGGGGCGCTGTCTTAAAGTGCTAGTGTGCATGTTGCTTGGCATTTGAGGAACGTGTCCACACACTAGCAACTGGACCCTATGATTTCCAGCAACTTCTTTTGTGATCCCCAGTTCCTGCTAGCTGATCTCTGTGTATTACAGTCTGTAGCCTGCATTCTCTATTCCAGGGCCTCACTGTATTTCAGCTTGAATCCTACATCTTCTTTTCTGGTGACTCCATGGTATTTCAGCCTGTATCCTGCATCCTCTGTTGCAGCGACCACATTGTACTTCAGTCTGTACCCTGTATCCTCTGTACCAGTGACCCCAGTATATTCCAGTCTATATCCTGCACCCCAATATAACCCCTGTGCACTCACGCTAGTATCCTGCACCAGTGACCAAGGGCACTATCCAGCTCAAGTGACCATGTGCACTCCAGCCTGTGCCCAGCTCCAGTGATCTCATGCATGACTTCTTGTGTTCTGTTGCCCTGAGAAATTCTGCGCTGCTATAAACTGTACTATTCTATTGCTGTGTTCCTGGTATCCCAGTGCTGCAAGACACTCTCACCTGTATACCTGTACTCAGTTTCCAGAAGCTGCTTGCTTAGGTGAGTCGAAGAACCACAACCTGGGAGCCATCAGCAGCAAAAGCCATCACCCCTTGCAGGGGGCTCTGGTGAAGACCAGATGGCTCCTTGAAAAACTGCCCCTCAGCCCTTTTATGGGCTCTCACCTCCACTGAAGGGGCAGACACTCTGTCAGGCCCAGTTCACACTAGTGTGGGATGTGTGGCCCATGTTTGTGAGGGCACAGCAGCCCATTCATTTGAATTGGCTGCCTTGCCCGAGTTTTCACGCAAGGAAGAGGTCCATGCAGTTCTCATACCCGTGATTTCGCTGCTGGATGAGATGCATGAGGGTGCCATTCACAATGAATGGACACACCCTGCGCCTCATAAGAGAACCGTGATGTGGTTGCGAGAACCAGGGTGTCATCTGGTATCTGTGTCCCTGGTGTGTCCTTTGCCTCTCTGTGACTCCACGTGCTCTCAGTGTCTCTATTGTGACCTACGCCATCTCCTAGCCTTAGTAAATTCTGCCAAGCCTTGCTCAGTCAGTCCACTCCCAGTGGAAATGGATTCCCCGTCCATGACACCTGTGCAAATCTTGAGAACTTGTTTTGTAAAATAAAGCCCTATATTTGGACTCTTGTCTGGAGTCTGGTGCTCTTTTCTTTGTTTCTGTGCTTCCTCTTTTGTTTACCTGCAGCCTCCAGTTCATGGGGACTGCCTGTCCAGTGCATAAAGCACCCCAAGACTTCCAATCCCATACTAATGTATAGGAGCAATGTTGAATCCAGTGCCATCACCTCTCACTTTCCATTGTCCTGGTGACCATTGTCACTGAAACAGGAAATGAAGGAAAATCCAGAATTTTACAGCTGTCACCAGAATAAGTGGGGAAGGTAAAAACTTCCAATGATGACAATTGTTCTGGTAACAAGAGAGGAATTTTCTTCGCTTTGGGGAGATTTCCATTCACTTCCTGTGTAACTAAAGGACCGGATGTGAAATCTCCCCAATAACTGTAAAACATAAACTGAGGGGTTTTCAATCCTTCCCTACTTTATCCAAGGGTAAAGTTTTTGGCTATATATACAGTTGAATTGTCCACTGCACACCTTTACCTTCCCTTCACTCCCTTGCTGCTCTGTCCAACCACCTGCAGCAAATATCAATAGCTGTACGTTTGGGTATGGGAAGCTTATACATTTGGTTTATCAATGCAGCTCTGGGCATCTGAGCAGCTAATCACCAACCAATACTGGTGTCACATGATGGGGAGGAGAAAGTGTTCTTAGCCCTGGTAAAGCTCCATCCATAATGACTTAAAGCTTAACACAGGACTACTTGTCTGGGGGAAGAGAAATATATGGGCTGCCATTGCTGACCCTCTTCTGAATAGGGTAGAGCTTGACTTCAACCCTTCATTTCAATGTATTAGATTGTAAGCTCACAGGAGAAGGGCCCTTTTAACCCTCTTGTATTGGATTGTATTGTTGCTGTATTGTCTCCCTTTATATTGTAAAGTGCTGAGCAGGGGCAGACTGACAACTCATGGGGCCCCCAGGCAATAGGGGATCATGGGGCCCCTGTGTCCTTGCCCAAACTCAAAAAAGCCTATGAAAAAGGTACCAGGGGCATCTCATGGGGCCCCCTACTGACTCCGGGCCCTCGGGAAGTGCCCGAGTTTCCAAATGGTCAGTCCGCCCCTGGTGCTGAGCAAACTGTTGGTGCTATATAATAAGGATAATAAGAAAAGAATAATTGGCTTGCTAACACACCACAACAGACCAAAAATCATGCATGCAGAATTACTGCGATTGCATGTCAATGCCTTGACATGTGTTTAAAGCAAGTGCACTGAGGGTAACACAGTGACTTAGTGGTTAGCGATTCCGCCATTCAGCACTGAATCCTGGTCAGGACACTATCTGCATAAAGTTTGCATGTTCTCCCTGTGTTGACGTGCTATTCCTTTGGGTACCCTGCTTTCCTCCTACACGCCAAAGATGTGCTGTTGGGTTAAGCCCTGGTTCACATATATGCGGCCGTGCAGGACGCGTTTAGCGCGGCACGAGAGCCCATTCATTTGAATGGACTCCCGTGCCCTTGACACGCAGGGAAAAAGTCCCTGCACTTCTTTTGAAAACACATAGCCAGCATGGGAACTTCGGTTCCCAGTACAGTTGCGTTTTCCAGTGTGGGCGGCGTGCCATTAGAACTAATGGCACACGCACACGGGTCCGCATTCCTATGCAGGTGGTGTGGCACAGAGATCAATAGCACAGCAAAGAGATAACAGAAAGAAGTTTAGAGGGATAAAGTGCTTGCCGTCAGCCTTGGTTTAAGCAGATCAGGTTTCCTGAGCCAAAAGGATGCCTTATCTCCCAAAGTTAGTTCCGATGTTAAAAGGGAGAAATCTTAAACTCAGCTTAGCTTTTTCTAGGAACTCAGCAGGGTGTCTCCCTGAAGCAGAGAACCAATCGTCTCATTTGGGTGGGTATTGCAGGCGGAGACCCAAGCTATGACCAAGCACCCTCCCAGTTGATATCATGGTTCATAACTTACCCTGGATACATATAACATTCTATCCATGAGTAGATTAATACGCAGAATCTTCTGCTGAACGTCTACATATGAAATATGACATACCCATTGTGACGGTTAAGGAGATATAATTTTCTGCTTTCCTTTATATGTCAGATAGGTGGTGTAATATATCAAACGACTTGTATTAAAGTGATCGGGTTGAATATCTGCCTGGTTTTTATGTAAGTCTCTCATATTCGAAGATATGTAATCATAGGGGAAAGTGGGTCTTGAATGTGGTCTGCTTTATTGCTTATCTGGAATGTCTTTGAGGCTCAGCGAGGGACTTGGTTTATGGCTTTACGATCCCTTTCCAAGCAAGAGTCTCGCAGACATATGGGCACCAGCTAATTGGGGTTTATAGCCATGACGCCCTCCCAATGAGTTAGCTGCCTGTGATCTCTGCATCAAACAGACCAATCTGATTTGGGAGAGAGAGATACAAGATGGAGGGGTTTGGAGCAAAATAGATGACCGTGTCCATTTCTGTGTGCATGATTGCTACATGCCAGTGATGTGAAGATGGATCCTGGTTGTGCAAGATGAGCAGAGATGCATCCGTCAGTGTTCAGCAATGCAGAGTTTTTGAAAATGGCCAAAGACTAAAACTAAAATGGCCTATTAGTCCAAAGACTAAAACTAAATTGGAACGTGACATGAAACTGAGCACTGGTCAGAAATCTATATTCTGGTTTACAAACCTTGGTTTTATTTGTAAAGATGTAACTTATATTATACTTATTTCTTTATTAGCAGAGATCTGTTAAAGTTTTTATATTCAGGTAATAAGTGCAATGGCATTACAGCCAATAGAGTTTACAGGTTTTTTTTAGATTTTAACTGCTTTCCCGACCGTATAGCAGATACACTGTTACAGGGCAGCAGGGATACGCAAAATCATTTATATATGTGTGATTTTGCATTTCCAGGTAGGGGGTGCGCGGTTGCCCTACCCGCGCCGCCATTTTCGGCCGTGGCTGTCAATCACCGGGTGCCAGCTGGTGATCACCCGCCAGCACCTGGTAATTACCGAGAATCTCTGACAGGGAGGAGGACTGTTTTGTTTACTAGCAGTTCTCCTCCCTGTCAGCTCGGGCACACTGCACAGCACAGCTACCCAAAGCAGTGTGCTTACAGCGAAGCACACCCCGCCCCCTAGAAAAACACTCCCAGCACACAGTTAACCCTTTGATCACCCCTCATGTTAAACCCTTCCTTCCCAGTGCCATTAGTACAGTGTCAGTGCTTTTTATTAGCACAGATCACTGTATTGGTGTCACTAGGGATGTCAGTGACACCAAGTCAGTTCCCCCCCAGTGTCAGAATGTCTGTCGCAGTCTCACCGCCATTACTAGTAAAAAAAATATTTTAAATTCCAGTATTTATGCCGCAATTTGTAAATGCTATAACTTTCACATAAACCAATTAATTTACATGTATTGGGAATTTTTTTTTAGCAAAGACGTCGCAGAATACATTTTGGCTTAAATTTGACAAAATTGAATTTTGTTACTGGACATGTTTAATAGCAAAGTAAAATATATTTTTTTTTCCTCAAAATTGGTGGTCAAAAAAACACACAGGTGATCAAATACCACCGAAAGCTCTATTTGTGGGAAAAAAAGGACATAAATTTCACTTGGGTGCAGCATTGCATGACCGCGCAATTGTCAGTTAAAGTAACACAGGGCCAGGGGCGGATGGACCATTTGGAAACTCTGGCACTGCCCGAGGTCAGTAGGGGGCCCCATGAGATGCCCCTGGTACCTTTTTCATAGGCTTTTTTGAGTTTGGGCAAGGACACAGGGGCCCCATGATCCCCTATTGCCCGGGGGCCCCATGTCCGCCCCTGCGCAGGGCTGGAACACAAGAAATGGCCTGGTCAGGATGGGGGGTAAATCCTCTGGAGGGCATGTGGTTATCATGGATCTGTCTTCTATTCAGGTAATATGTAATCTATATGTAATCTGACATCACAGCCAATAGATTTACTGGTTTTTGTGTTTTTCTATTTTAAAGTTGCATCCTGCTTGTTTAGAAACAGTATTTTTGTTTGTTTATTATACTGGAGATTTTAATCAACTAAAACGAATACAATCAGATGACTAATATACATTTCAGTCACAAGACAACTAAACCGACATTTGACGTCATGCTATGCTGGTAAAAAAGGGCTTAGAATGGGGCACACATGTAATCGCCCCGTGTGAACGAGGCCTTAAACAAAGCGTGACTGCACTGGTGAGCCCGGTGTGAGAGGAACCGAACACACGTCAGGGTGAGAAGCCAGAGGGGTTCATCATAGGTCAGCAATTGCAAGTGTGTAGGATTCCATGGCGCACACTGCTCTATCCTGGAATGGAAATCATCCTATAAAGCGCTGTATTCCGCTCTGTCCTCCTCCCCCCGGCCTTCATTGTACATCGCGGCCCCCGAGCCGCACCTGCTTCATTCAAAACCCCCACAAACCAGCCAGGCTCCGCCCCTCCCCTTTAATAGTGCCGCTAAACACACAGCCCCGCCCTTCTCTTCTCCATCGGCTTCCGAGGGCCCCTCCCGTCTGATTTCCAGCTTTAGATGTGACCCGGCCCCGCCCCCTGCTCTGTTTGTACTCGGAGGTGGCTGTCCCCGCCCACCCGGCTGCTCTCAGACAAGTGCTGCCTTCGGCTGCTGAGATGAGCGGAGCGCGTTCCCGCGAGATGCTGCAGCTGTGTTGATCGGAGGTAAGGAGGGAGCGCGCCCGGTGACAGGTTCACGGGGGGATTGTGACCGGGATGGAGGAGGAGCAGGGAGCCGGGACGGGATGCGGCGAGGTAGGATGGAGAATGTGCGGCCGTTATGTGTGATCTCCGGGGAAGGTGTCCTCTGCCCATTGTGTGTCTGGGAGGGCTCCATCCGGTGCACGGGGCTGGCACGGCACACAATGGGCACCGCATTGTACAGGGAGCATCCAGAACAACATCCCCCCCCCTACAAGGAGTGTGTCTGGTCATGGATGTCCCCCACATCACCCCCACCCCCCGTACATGGCTCATAGGAAGAGCAACACCTCCTGTACACCGGTCACCGTGACGTCATCACCGAAACACCGGGACCGAACTAGGACTGGGGGCCAGGGACAGTACAGGGGATGGTGTACCAGGGACAATGCGAGGACTGGGGGCCGGGGGCAGTACAGGGGATGGTGTACCAGGGACAATGCGAGGACTGGGGGCCAGGGACAATGCGAGGACTGGGGGCCAGGGACAATGCGAGGACTGGGGCCAGGGACAAATGTAAGGACTGGGGGCCAGGGACAGTACAGGGGATGGTGTACCAGGGACAATCCTGGGGGGACTGGGTGCCAGGGGAGGGACAATGTTAAGGACTGGGGGCTGGGGGCAGTACAGGGGATGGGTGTACCAGGGACAATGTAAGGACTGGGGGGCCAGGGATAGTACAGGGGATGGTGTACCAGGGACAATGCGAGGACTGGGGGCCAGGGACAGTACAGGGGATGGTGTACCAAGGACAATGCAAGGGACTGGGGGCCAGGGGCAGTACAGGGGATGGTGTACCAGGGACAATGTAAGGACTGGGGGGCCAGGGGCTACAGGGATGGTGTACCAGGGACAATGCGAGGACTGGGGGCCAGGGACAGTACTGGGGATGGCGTACCAGGGACAATGTGAGGACTGGGGGGCCAGGGACCGTACAGGGGATGGTGTACCAGGGACAATGCGAGGACTGGGGGCCAGGGGCAGTACAGGGGATGGTGTACCAGGGACAATGTAAGGACTGGGGGCCAGGGGCTACAGAGGATGGTGTACCAGGGACAATGTGAGGACTGGGGGCCAGGGGCAGTACAGGGGATGGGTGTACCAGGGTACAAGGAATGGTGTACCAGGGACAATGCGAGGACTCGGGGCCAGGGACCGTACAGGGGATGGTGTACCAGGGACAATGGGAGGACTCAGGGCCAGGGACCGTATATAGAGATGGTGTACCAGGGACAATGCGAGGACTGGGGGCCAGGGACAGTACAGGGGATGGGTGTACCAGGGACAATGCGAGGACTGGGGGCCAGGGACCTACAGGGGATGGTGTACCAGGGACAATGCGAGGACTGGGGGCCAGGGACCATGCAGGGGATGGGTGTACCAGGGACAATGCGAGGACTGGGGGGCCAGGGACAGTACAGAGGATGTTGTACCAGGGACAATGCGAGGACTGGGGGGCCACAGGGACAGTACAGAGGATGTTGTACCAGGGACAATGCGAGGACTGGGGGGCCAGGGACAGTACAGAGGATGGTGTACCAGGGACAATGTGAGGACTGGGGGCCAGGGACTGTACAGGGGATGGTGTGTACCAGGGACAATGCGAGGACTGGGGGGGGGGGACAGTTTAGGGGATAGTGTACTGGGACAATGCAAGGACTGGTTGCCAGGGACAGTACTGGGGGCCATGTACTGGGTACAATGCAAGGAATGGGGGACAGTATAGGGGATGGTGTACGGGGTCAATGCAAGGACTAGGGACAGTGCAGGGGATGGCGTACCGGGACAATGCAAGGACTAGTTGTTGGGGACAGTACAGGGGACCATGTACCTGGGACAATGCAAGGACTGGGGATAGTACAGGGGACTGTGTACTGGGGATAATGCAAGGACTGGGGACAGTATAGGGGATGGTGTACCGGGGACAATGCAAGGACTAGGGACAGTGCAGGGGAAGGTGTAGCGGGACAATACAAGGACTGGTTGTCGGAGAAGTAAGTACAGGGGACCATGTACCTGGGACAATGCAAGGACTGGGGATAGTACAGGGGACAGTATAGGGGATGGTGTATATGGGGACAATGCAAGGAGTGGGGACGGGACAGGGGACAATGCAAGGACTGGGGACAGTATAGGGGATGGTGTATTGGGGACAATGCAAGGAGTGGGGGACAGGACAGGGGACAATGCAAGGACTGGGGACAGTATAGGGGATGGTGTATTGGGGACAATGCAAGGTATTGGGGACGGGACAGGGGACAATGCAAGGACTGGGGACAGTACAGGGGACCGTGTACCAGGCATACTGCAACATTGGAGGAACACCCTACAATGCATCACGGACTACTGACAAGGGACAATACAGGGACAGGGTGCTTTGGAAATCTGTCCCAGAACAGTGCCAGTGTACCTCCTAGATGGGCTCATTGCATTGATTTAATAGCCAACACTTGGGGTGAACAGTCCTGAACCTGTGTCCTGAGGACCACACATGTCCCCTGGCACTTGCTGTGCAGCCTTCAGGCCCTCTGCAGACAGGAACACACAGGTGTCATCCCTCCCGTCATGTTTCTCCAAAGACAACTCCGTTTAGGTCGCTCTCTTGCTGCTCCATTAAAAAACTGCAGTAAAAATGCACCTGTGAGACATGGTCATGTGACTCAATAAAACGCACCAAAAACACAACCGTGGGTGTGACTGATGCCTTTTCCATTCCTTTCCATGGGGAGTTGTTTGTTTTTTTTAACATGTACCAAACACTCACCAAAAATGCAGCAAGGAGGACTTTTAAAAGGACAAATGACCGGTGTGAAGAGTTCCATTGGATTTAAAGGGATGCATTCTTCTTCAACTTTTTCAACTGAAAAACTGATGAGTGATCTTAGCCTCTGCTTGATCTGCAACTGGCGAGATGCTGCACCTGTGATCAGTTAGGACTCAGCCATTGGATGGTTTGACAGTTTAGTTGAGAACACAAGCAAATGTGACAGTTGTGATGACCAGGAATGGAACTGTTTTCTGCAACCATTAAATCCATGGGGTTTAGTTCCAATTTAAAAACAATGAAAGAAACAGATGCAAAAACAGAATGTTGTCCATTCTACATCCGTTTAGGTCCACTTCCGTGTTTTTTTTTTTTTTTTTTTTTTACAGAACAAAAATAAAGACTTGTTCTTTGTAAATAAAACAAACCTGAAGAGACACAGATATGAACAGATGATCATCCGTTTGCCCATAGGAATGCATTGCTGACCCTTTTCCTCTATCAACAGGTGTATGTAAAGCAGACAGAACAGCTCTGTGTAAGGGGCTGAGTCTGAGGTTTGGTTCCTCTCTGTGCTGGCCATCTCTTGTCTCTCTCTGCAATATCTCTTCCTCTGACCATTTATAAACGATCTCACTGAGAGTAATATTTGAAGAGGAATGTTCCCTGTATTTGGATTTTCCATATGACATTTACCTTTCTTGGCACCCCAGTGCACTGTGTGGGAAGTTTCCAGCCCTGTGTGGTTTCCCTATGACCATTTTATTTTTTGAAAAGTGCGGGGACTCTTTCCCTTGCATTTTCCATTGGTACAGTAGCCCCCGTTGA